CTATATCGTCCATATCCAGTCTTCTTTCTTTTCCTTTTGTCAATGTATTTCTTGTCGATTCAGCCCTCTATCAATTTGGTTTCTAATTCTCTAAGCACTTTAAGATGCTCTCAGAACGAATAAAGCTCAAGACCTCTAATTAATAAGTGTTTCTCTTGGTCCGAAAAATAGATGCATCATCTCAATTCTAACGAAGTCACCGTCTCCAATTGTCTGGGATTTGAAAAGGAATAGCACACAACGGCTGTGCGGCTTCATGGAAACACCACGCGCTCACACCACCCCTATTCACCACCAAAACACAATCATGATCTCCTTTGAGCACGTATTCGTCGGCATCATGTTGACCAGGGTCTATCGCCCATGGAGAAGGCATGGACTTGGCCGGCCGGTAAGGAACTTGCGCGCCTGGTTGTGAAATCCAGATTGTGGGCATGGCTCCCTCGATCCTGATATAGTACAAGAGGTTGCGGTCGATAGGTGCAAGGCGTAAGTGGGAGGAGGATGTGTGTTCCGGGGGCAAGAGATGCAAGAAAACCTCTTCGGTCTCGATATAGTGGGTAATCGCGATAATATAATGAGGGTGGTGATCTTTACTACCCTTGGGACGGGCTATTAGGATTCCCGCTCTGTCGTTGAATTGTTCTGAGAGCCAGGCATTTGGCCGAACTACCCAGTCGCTGTCTTCTAGCCTTGGTAGGGTCATAATTTTGGACGCGGTTTGAGGAGTTCCCGACGAATCATCAAAGCAATGCTTGACGACCTGCAACTGTGCGGCATTGCACGGAACCCCTTCGAGATCCCATGGGCCATCAACGCCGTCGGTTCGTTGTAGATGGATGGAGATCAAGCAATCCAGCGTAGGATGGAAGTCTATAAACACTAAGTGATCTGCCACAACTACCGTGCGGGAAACGCGCGAGTTGAAGTCCCATTGCATGACAACAGTGTTTCCAGCCGCGGGATCCTTGAAACCGAAGGCAACCTTGGTGCCGCGAACAGCGAAGAGGTGGAATAGGCGGGATGGCAGTCGAAAGTATGCTGATTCCTCCGTTTGGAGATTCCAGACATGGCAATACCTAAAACCATTTCAATGAGTAAGAAAATACTACATGAGTTTGATCTGCGCAATTGCTGCCTACCCACGTAGAGTGACCGCTGCAACAATCAACTCCGAAAGACGAATGTGGCCGATGCGTTCTCTGTTTTCGGTGCAGAACATCTGCATTGCATGCGAACACATATCCTGCACGACGACCGTGGTCATTTCGCCAGTCCATGCATACCGTCCATTCGAATAGTCTAGACATGCTGGGCTAATATGGCTGGGCTCGCGCCGACGGAGGGCTGAAGATGGCTCTCCTCGCTCCAGTCTGATTCTTTGCTTGGCATACTGGTTGTAGATGTGATGAGATGCCTGATGAAAAGGATTGAGGGTGCGGCCTGAATACCGGCGGTATACGGCGCTGCAGACCGGGTTAGATGACAGTAGCTTGTGCCAAGTTCTAGAGACCTGATAATGTGAGTTTCACCATTCCTGGTCACAAGACGTTGATATGTATTGCCTACTCTCTGCAAAACATGGATTTCCGCTAGCTCTAGATACTGGGCGACTTGCACAGCAATCTCGGGGGGAAGCAACCCTAGTATATCACACTGGAAGGTTCGTTTATTGAGAAGATCCCTCAAGTCACGCCATTCGTCAGAAGCTAGCTGGTGGATAAGTTGACGGAACCTGAAATTGGTGACTAGTGTCAGTCAATGAGTCTTCAGAATATGCATTATCGTATCGTGAAAAGGCCTTTGTTGAGGAAACCCGTACACTCTGCGTCGCGCGGACTTTGTCCTGAGATTTTGGAGTCGAGTGATGATCTCCTGTTCGTCTGAGTTCGGATCTACATATTCCATAGTGACGGGGATATCGTTTTCCAGCGTCTGCGAATCATCGTTGTCGTCCTTTGTAAGGGGGGAAGAAGCATCTACAATGACGGTGTCTGGCGCACAGTGGAAAGGTTGAGCCTCTCAGAGAAGGAGCGAGGGTGCTGATAAGGAAAGGAAGGAATCAGCTGAGCTAGTTGATCCGCCGTCATGTTTATCTAAGGTACCCGGTGTGTTTACAACAATTCTGCTGAAATACCTTGATGGCAGTTAAGATGATGCATCTATTTTTATGACAAGTGAAACACTCATTAATTAGAAGGTCTTGAGCTTTGTTTGATTCGAGAGCTGAAGCGCTTGGAGGAATACATATTGGATCGATAGAATACTGAATTAACAAGAAGTACATTGACAAAAGGAAAGGAAAAGGGAAAAAAAAATGAATAGATATGGACGATATACAGAACCATCAATGCTCTCTATGAGTATGCCACCCTGCCTTCCCCATACTGTGCGGATTTCACTATTATACTAGCCCAATTTTGCTGACATATCCTGACCGACTCGTGCCCCGCGCAATTCGGCATCCATATCACTGATCAACCATTAACAGGAGTATCACGAGGGCTGCGAATTTGAGGTCCCCGGTAGTCCATTTGGTATTTCCAACCATGTCACCACCCATGTAAATCAAAGGAAGGTAAAAAGGGCAATCACGAAAGAAAAGACAGAAAGATAAAACATTAGGCGATGACACATGCTGGACCATCCCAAAGCGACGGAGTTTAGATACCAAGGGTGAACTCAACACCGACGTCAATCTCACGGGCCATCTTGACGACCTTGGAGAACTGGACGGACTTCTCGGCGGCGCTCTGGAGGTCCTCAATGGAGAAGATCTTAAGACCGGACTCGTTGATCTATAAATCCTACATTAGCATTTCATGGCCATTTTCGTAGTTCGTAAATGCAAACAGGTTGGCCACGTACCAGCTTCTGAGCCTGCTCCATGTTGGTACCCTGCAACCGAGCAACGATGGGGATGCGCAGACCCATATCCTCCACGACATTGATCAAACCCCGGGCGATAGCATCGCAGCGGACGATACCACCGAAGATGTTAACGAAGATGGCACTGACCTTGGGGTCGCTGGTGATGAGCTCAAAAGCAGACTTGATAGCGGCGGGGGTAGCACCACCACCAACATCAAGGAAGTTGGCGGGGCTTCCGCCATTGAGCTTGATGATATCCATGGTGGCCATGGCGAGACCAGCACCGTTGACTAAAGAAGGTCAGCATGAGCGCAGTAAGGTAAGTGTTGTCAGGTCTTACCCAGGCATCCAATGTCACCATCCAGCTTGATGAAGTTCAAGCCGTACCTGTCGTCCAAGTTAGAGCAGAAATTACGTGGGTTATGAACTGGGTGCCATCGGGACGTACTCAGCAGCCTTGACCTCATCGGCGTCTTCCTGAGTAGTGTCTCTCCATGAGAAGACTTCCTTCTGTCTGAACTCAGCGTTGTCATCAAAGTTCAGCTTGGCGTCCATAGCCAGAACCTGGTGGTCGGAGGTCTCAGACAGAGGGTTGATCTCAATCTGAGTAGCATCCTTCTCCATGAAAACCTTGTACAGGTTCTGGATGGTTGTCTTGGCATCCTCGATGCACTGCTCAGAGAAGCCAAGATCGGTAGCAATCTTGCGGGCAATGTCATCAGTCACGCCGACCTTGATGTCAACAGGAGTCGTCATGATAGCCTCAGGGTGTTCCTTGGCGACTGCCTCAATATCCATACCGCCTTGTGACGAGGCAACAATGACGGGGGACTGAGTTGCGCGGTCCATGAGGACGGCAAGATAGAATTCACGACGAGCGAACTTGCGCTCGCAAATGTAGACAGCGTTGCAAAGGCGACCAGCAGCACCAGTCTGCTTGGTGATGAGCTTGTGTCCGATCATCTGGCTAGCGAACATCTTGGCCTCGGTTGGGCTGGAGAAAAACAACGTCAACAAGAGGACATGTCGAAGGCGAAAACAATGAAATTTTAGAGGAATCACTCACGAGTAGATAACGCGCACACCTCCCTTAAGACCATTGTCGAAGGAACCCTTACCACGGCCACCAGCAAGAACCTGAGCCTTGATCACCATGTCATCGTTCCCTAAAGTGTTTGTCTCAGTAAACCGCGGTCCAGCTTGTCCGTTAAGGGCTCATATATACCGATTGACTTGGCGACAGCCTCAGCTTCCGCCGCCGAGTGTGCGACCTCACCCTTGGGAACTCCAACGCCATACTGCCATCCGGTCAGTCATCTTAGATCTGCGGAATATCGAGTGAACGTTTCCGACAACATACGGACTTGAGAAGTCTGGCAGAGAGGTATTCGTGAATGGACAGGTTTCTCTGTTGCTGAGCCAATCTGGATTGGACGGAGGATTCCTACCAAAATCGCAATGTCAGCAAGCTCAATTTGATGCTAATGAATATGGTACCGTGTTATATTATCGAAATTGCACAGGGAAATATCTCACCGTCGCAGCTCTGATAGCTGCAGCGACAGGACGGCTGCTGCGCGCGAGCTTGAACATGATGAAAATATTTTGTCAAAGAGAGGAGAATTTCAAGAAAACAGATAAGAGCACGAGAGAGGAAGAACGGAGCCTCCAAGTTGATTGTTGACAAGAAGGGGCGGATTATCCACTGTTGAGATCTCGGGAAAGGGAACAGCTTTCACTGCTTTTTCACAGCTGCGCTTGTCGGAACAATATTGCGCTTCGTCTGCATTGCACCCGGTCACCTGATGGAGCCAACCAGTGTGCGTGTATAGATGACTAATCGGGTGCATATTGCGGGCGACGCGAATATCACGGAACCCTGTTATAACTTCTTCGCCGACCACTGTTCCTTACCGAGACCCATAGTTTGCTGGCCTTGTCGTCACTAGAACCAAAAGAAAGTAAGAAATGATAACTGAGTTTGCCAGTCGTCTCCAATCCCCGTTGCATTTAACTTCTATACTTCCATGATTCTGTCAGATGCACAACTATTGTTTTCGTAGTGGGAACATCGTGGAACACCTGTTGGGTACTTCTAGACTATAGAGCCGAGCAACGATCCTTTGCTTCTACTTCCCTATGGCATTTTTCAACTTGTAGAGGTTGAACATCCGCGTCATGGCTCCATGGAATAGACCTGTCCAAGCCCAACCGCCACATAGGAGCCAAATCAGCCAGCTCTTGTTACCTTCCCAGATCCAACTCTTTCGTCCTTGCGCCCAGGGCCATAACCAGCGCCATGGCGCTGATCCGTACAGGACCTGCGTTACAACGCTTCGCGCATATGCAGCATGTGGCATCGCGCCATCCTGACTATGCGTCACACGGCGTGCGTATTCGTCTTCAATAGGAGTGAACAGGGAGTTCGGCTGGAGAGTTCGCTTAGTACGTGCAATGCGGGATTGCACACCCCCAGTGATGACAGTTGTGACATTTACCCTGGATGGGGTTCAGTATCAGTGAAAAGGGGTAATATGGAGAAACACATTCGCATACCCGAAGGGAGCAAGTTCCACCCGCAGCGTGTCGCTGAACGAATGCAGAGCGGCTTTTGAGGCGTTGTACACCGACCCGAACACATAAGGTATGATCTTGACAAAGAGGGAGACTGTCAGGACCAGAAAAATGGCATATCAGTGAGGTGGATTTACTAACCCCAGCCACACTACCGATCATGACAATGGTGCCCTTTGCCTTCATGAGCAATGGCAAGAAGGCCTGGCATATAGAGATGACCGCGAAGAAGTTGGTTTCAAAAGTTTTCCGGGCTTCCCCAAGGTCTATCTCAGTAGCTGGAACAGTGTAGTCTGTCATACGTGAGTAAAGTCCCCCTATTTAAACGCCGAACTGGGCAAACTAGGTCCAATTTGATGACGTACTTCGGCCCCTAGCCATGTAGGTATCAGCATCCAGGTCAATTGTTCCAGCAAAACAGGAGGGAGAAGAATACGCATTGTTAACAAGAAAATCAAGTCCCTTGTCCCCAAGTCTTGTTTCGACTTCAGAGCAGCAGGATTTGACACTTTCTTCGTCATCCACTACCAAGTCTAGCGTCTCGATACCCAGGGCTGCTAGATCATCGATGTTCTTTGCGTCTCGCGCCGTTGCAAATACGCGCAAACCATTTCGATGAAACTCGCGGGCGAGTGCATTGCCTATTCCACCGGGAGAGCACCTAGTTCAGACCACAAAAGCGATTAGCGGCGCGCATCGGAACGATTAAAATTCTCAATGCAACAAAATGCTCGGTTACCCAGTGATCAACACAGACTTGCGGTCATCTCGCTCAGTTGTCATTTCTATCACTCAATCCAAATGTACTAAGGCAAGTAAAGAATCACAGAATACCCAGCACTATCGAATCGTCTGAAGAAATCAAGAAGACTAAGGTAGCTTAGGAAATCGGTGGATTTGTAGAGGTATGAAGATGTAGACTACCTTACTCCGTATCTACTTAAGAGCGAATCAACTGAAACCTCGGCAGAAGCATAAGCCCACCACATTTAATTTGGACCAATTAGCTACCTGGGAAGTGTACAGAGTACTTTAGTTCGCATTCTCCGGGATCTGCATCAATACCTTTATTCTCGATCGCCTCGTTGACAATAATAATATAAATTCCTTACCACTTACCAGGTACCTTCAAGCATCCTATCTTAGAATGACCAGGGCGAGCATTAACTATATAACGCGGTCACGAATAGTCATGGATACCTAGACGATCCGAGTGGATTTCGGAAAGCTTTCCTGTAAGGCAAGTTCGTCCCGTTTGTCGCGAATTGTATAGGTTGTTCTGCAATAATGGACCTCTTATGTCAGTCTATCATTTGTCTCAAGAGCAACACTCAGTAATGGCCATCGATATTTTTCTGTTGTATGGATATGGGCATGGGCTGATATGTATTCTGCTCTGGAAGGCTTTTAGCCTTTTAGGTATGAAGTAGTTGTACTATTCCCAAGGTCCTTCGGCTGTAGCGCAGATGTCCAAGTTTGCTGGGATGATATCGAGATAATATTGATACGCAGCTCCCATCTGACCCTATTGAGTACCCGCCATTATCTGCAGTAATTTGTAAACAGGTGCTATGAGAATTCTTTCCCTTCAGGTATGACGCACAAAGTGCAGCTCATCAAAACAAGGCCATCTATATGACATAGCGGATCAACGCGGGGCATCCAACACTTTCCGCCATTCAGGCATCCACTGTTCTACTTGTTGTTCTTGGCAGCACTGGTCTGAATCAGTACGTTGGACATCGCCTGGGGGTGAAATCTGATGACAACGCTCATACCAAAGATGATTGCTGCCTTTCAGGTATTCTCTTGGGTTAAGGGAATGACATATGATTTGATTCGGTCGGTCTCTTCCCCACCATCAAATGCTTGTGTGCCGGTACCCGACGGGTCCATACACCAGTTCACCTCTATTCGCTTCGATCGGGATATCGATGTGTTTCGATTCCCACGGAGGGCGTTCACTGGCTAGATATGGCCTTTAGACCGAAGCATGGACGATTTCTTTGCCCAATTGCCGATCAGCTAAATCATGGCCTTCATCACTGCACACATCCTTTTTCTTTTCGCCCAGTTTTCGTCTTGCCTTGTGAGAATATACAGTTTGTCTCCGTCTCTTTAGGCAAGCATAGCTAAGAACTCAAGCACGAGTAACCAACTCCTAAGCTTCCAGCGAAGTTCAGATACCTGAGCTTCAAATCATGATCCTACAGTCGTAGGCGCAATTGCAATGACAGAGGAAGAGCGTGTGCTGCATAGCAATGAGTTGTCACTACTCTCCCCAACGACCGGAAGGGCAATCCAACAGGCTCGATCTTCCGCGTTAGAAGCACTGCATAATCGTTCGTTTTACAAGTACGACAATGAGAGTGTCCCGCTCTCTCGCAGAGATACTGACGCTTCAGCTGCGTCTCTGAGCTGGAAGAAACGAATCAGGCACTTTACTTGGGCCTTTTTTACTCTTTCAATGAGCACTGGTGGTATCGCAAATGCCTTATATAACGGTAAGCTTGCGGTGTTTGCGTTTCCCGCCCTGGATGCTGACTTGAGAAATAGTTCCTTATAAATTCCGCGGCCTTGAAATGATCGGCATCATAGTCTTCCTGTTTAATATTGCACTGTACATTACAATATGGTGTATTCTGCTGCTGCGATTCTACCTACATCCATATACCTTCAAATTATCACTTACGCATCCAACAGAGTCATTGTTTGTGCCTGCATCTATCGTCTCATTTGGTACAATTTTGATCAATATCTCTCAGTACGGTCCAGAGGCTACAGGACCTTGGCTAAGTTATGCCGTCGGAGTGTTATTCTGGATCGATGCGGCTCTTGCAGTGATCCTCTCTGCCGGTATCTACCTGCTACTGTATGTGACATTTCTCTTCCTCATTATACAAAGGGTATTGGATGCTCACCTTGCCTTAGGTGGTCGACTCAGACGTTCACGATAGCCCAGATGACACCTATATGGATCTTCCCGGCGTACCCTATGTTGATAATAGGCCCCCATGCAGGGATCTTAAGTGCCAAACTTGAACCCTCTCGGGCCTTACCTATCATCATTGGGGGAACAACTATACAGGGAATAGGGCTGCTAGTAACCCTTACCGTTTACTCGGCCTATGTCTACAGACTTTTTAGTCAGAAGTTGCCTAGGGAAAATGTGCGTCCCGGAATGTTTGTCTCTGTTGGTCCCAGTGCCTTCACTGTGTCAGGACTTGTGACCATGGCTGCCCATGCAAAGCGATGCTTTCCCGATGACTTTATGGGCAACGGCGCCCTGGCTGCGAATATTCTCGAAGTGGTTGTCAATTTCGCTTGTCTGTGGCTCTGGGGGTGAGTCTCCATGATCATTTCATGCTTCAGCAGATCGACTGACATCTACCTAGCCTGGCAATATTTTTCTTTTTTATTGCGACTTTTGCTCACTGGTCAACCATCGGCCCTGGCCGAATGAATTTTTCAATGGCATGGTTCTCCTTTGTCTTCCCCAACACTGCCTTGATCACCGCCACGTTCGCCATTGGGAACGCTTTCTCATGCAAGCCGATTCTGATCATAGGCTGTGCCATGATTTTTCCTCTCATACTCATGTATATCTTCGTCTTTTACATGATGATTCGAGCTATCGTGTTACGGCAAATTATGTGGCCACAGAAGGGCGAGGACAAGGATGAGGGCGGATTTGAGATTAATCGAATCAAGCCCGAGACCCCTGGTGAACAGACTCCTGTCTGATGAAAGGAATGTGGTCGTGGGCTCGTGGATCTCGAGGCTGCAGCTCATCCACCCACCGGGGGAGCTTTTGTCCTTCCACAGGATCTACGACTCGACGTTAACGACGTACAATTTTAATATCCAGCACGGTTTTGCATGCTTGATACCCTTTTCTACGGTTAGCATTCTAAATGGAAATAGAACGGAACTATGACACTAAAAGTTTATCATACCACAATGAGATAAGTGGAGACGCAAGAGGTTTAAATAAGCCTGTGCTCGTTCTTCAATGATTTGCAGCTAAGCACCTGTATCTTTTAAGTAGGTAGAGATAAGCCATGGCTTGTCCGAACAACCATAAGCCTCAGGGCCTCGAACTTCGCTGGGAATCATGGTAAGCTCGCTATTTACCCTGAGCTACTCTCAGACAGGCAGTCATTGTCCCCCACATTAGCAAACCCTTGATTGGTCAAAAATTGCTTCCACCAAGCCTTTTACGGTAAGTTTGCCTCAATCCCATGTGGCATGGTGCCAGAATTTCCTGACTTCCGCGGTTCCATCCCTCAGTTTGGGAATCGATCTGATGCGCGACACCACCCAGAAGTGACGCAGGCCTTTTTTTCCCTTTTTTTCCCCCCCCCTCTTCTTTTTTTTTTTTTTTTATGTCTTGGCTTCACCCTCTCTACTTCTACTGGATACCTTAGGTACATTTTGATTTTATCTCGCACAAAAATCCCCTCGAAGCTCCTGCCCGCTCATTGATCTTCTTCTATCGAGAATTTACTCCTCCACGATTCATTCTTCGAGCTTGTCGATCAAAAGATCTCTCGTCGCCAACATGCCGCAAAAAGTCTATGTGACATACAACCAGGTATGCTTGTTCGATCACCCGCTCATTGGATGGCTGCGACGGTATTGCACGACAAAATCAAGGTTCGGAGAAGGCGCACGTGTGCAACATGCATCTGCATCTGCATCTGCCTCATTTTCCTCACCATTACCTTGCAGCCCAGCTACAGCAAATGTGCTTCTGCATTTTTTTGTCAATGACTGTTCGCTGACGGGTTGAATTGACAGGTGCACAAGTTGTGCCAGACCTCCGCCGAGAAGATCCTGGACACCTTCCGGCCCAATCTTATGATTGCCATTGGTGGTGGTGGTTACGTTCCTGCTCGTATCCTTCGGTATGTTGAACAGTTCCAGTGTTAGCTCAAAGATTTATGCTGATCAAGTCCTTCTATTAGCTCTTTCCTCAAGCGTGCCGGCGAGCCCAACATTCCCATTCAGGCTATCGGCCTGTCTCTCTATGAGGACTTGGGTCGTGGTGACCCCGAAGAGGTCCCCGGAACCAAGGTGACCCGAACACAATGGCTCGATCTCAGCTCTCTCGAGATGGCCAATCTTATTGGCAAGAACATCCTCATTGTCGACGAGGTCGATGACACCCGGACAACCCTGGAGTATGCAGTCCGTGAGCTGCAGAAGGACGTGGAGATGGCTCAGAAGCAGCTCGGCCGTGAGGCTGAGAAGACCAACTTCTTCGTCTTTGTACTTCACGTATGTTCTTGATCTTCAATTTTCCAAGAAAGGCGATTCAGCGGATAGGTTGGCTGACTTTTCGTTAGAACAAGAACAAGTTGAAGAAGGGCGAGTTGCCTGCCGACATGATGGAATCTGGCCGTTATCTTGCCGCAGTCACAACGGAAGATGTGTGGATCTGCTATCCTTGGGAAGCCACGTATGTACTGGACTTTTGTCGCCTTCCTTGTTTTCTCGGTCACTAACGGAGACTCCAACAACAGGGATATCGAAGAGCACGACAGACTGGCCATGGAAAACCCCCTTGTTTAGGTCTCCAGGTCGAGCAGCTACGTCGTATGATTGCTTCATACATTTTGCTTTGTATAAATCGCCCGCTTTTTAGCACCCTTGCATATCAGTTTTCATTTGCTTGCACATATACAGTGTTCTGTTTTATCTTTACTGAGCTTGATGAAGTTCATGTTGGACATGTCACGTTTACGAATGGTGTTTTGAGAGGCTCTCCGGTAGAGGAAGCAATGCATATCAAGGCCCGTGATGGGAGGTCTGGCTTACATTTGATCGTGAACGAATTAAATCCAAGGAAAAGTTATTCTCATTCTAGGTTCAGGAAATCTGGATCTCATAGGCATCGATAGGCATTCTTGTTCAACGGTTGTCCATAAATCGGTCAATGTTATGCTTGACCCGTAGTATGGATCGACCTGGGACAGTGTAATTCTACCAAATATCATAGATCACCGAGACTGGGTGGTAGACTCTTACAATCTTACCACTTCTGTCTCTCCAAGGGTCCAACGAAATTCCGTCATTTGGGTGTCGAGCTTTGCGCGAGAGCGTACTTGAGTCATTATTTCAATCTAAATAGAAGCGAGCCGAACAGGCAGAGCTTGACCTGATGAAAGCACATATCCAACAGATTGCAGATACCGAAAGCAAACGCCGAGCAACCGCAACAAGGACTACATCTTAGTCAACGTCGACGTTCTTGCTGCGCAGGTCGGCCCTCGCCTGCTCAATCTCCTTCTGCAACTCCTTGTGTGCCTCGGGACAGTCGTTGAACGTCAGGATGGCCAGACCGAGCCGACCACCCAGGTAGCAGGCGAAACATATTAGGCCGTAGAAGGGAAGCTGATGAGCAAATCGCGCAAGGGTCAGCGGGCAACTTGGACAACTGTAAACAGCGAGCGGAGCAACGCAGAGGGACGTACAACCGGGATAATTTCATTTTGGACAGTTTCGTTCAGGGGTACGAGCCCCAGGTATAGGACGAGGTAGAGCTAGATTGAGGCTGGTGTCAGTAGAATCCGGTATTTCTCAGCGGGAATCTGCCACGTACAGAAGACACAAGCAGGAGAATCGAGAGGGTTTGCTGGGCGCGCGTCATGGTGAAGGAATGTGGTGGTTGACGTGGGATAAAAAGAGATAGGAAGAGATTAAATGAGAGTATATTTAGCGTTCAAACCAGACGCAATTGAGACAAAATAATGACAGCAGTAAGAATGAGGGACTCAGGGTCGAACTGCCACCATGGAGTTGTCACTTATCGCATCTGTCTGTAGTCTCGGTACCTTACATTTACTGGCTGGATACGGGCGGCCCCCCCATGGCCGCTATGCCCTCCGAAACGCTAGCAGTACTGTACCTGAGGTTGTTATGTTTCGAGGACAATCACAACTAGTCAGAGAGTATGAAGCCTGAAGCATTCTGCACTCAGTCTGAGGAGTATTAAAGAACAGGCCGGCAATATTCCATTCTGTTATGGCATGAAAGGCTTCATGAGAAGAGAGGCCTTTTGCGTGGTAATTGAGATTGTATGGTAATATATTACAGTATGAACAACCCGAACGGAACACTTAGCTACCTTTGGTTCGTCTTGACCTGATCCACTTCAAGCTATCATCGATATCATTGTAGACTTTACTTCAGACCGAAGGGTAACAAGGCCATCCACCTGTCCTTTAGTGTCGATCTTCATATTTGGTCATCTAGGCCATCCGGGGCGAGAAAAATAGACCCAAAGACGGGATTAAGTGGCAAACCCTCTCAGCATTGTGGGAAGAGACAGCATTTTTAAGTACGGACACGCTTGCTTGAGGAGACGAGGCTTGCTTGCCTTGCTGTACTGTCTGCATATACTTCGTATTCACAAAAGAGGCTATTTACGCAATCGCTTACAAAGATATGATCACCGACAACGAGCCGGATGTGGTTCACACGGCTAGACCTGATGCTGAAGATCAATTGGCCAAGGAGACGTCCAGCAAGGCACATAATGACATAGACTGTCCTTCGTTGGACCAGATATTGTCACAATTGAGTCTCGGACCGTCAATTCTACCGGTGCAGACACTTTCTCCCGTCTCAGTTGACGAGCAAGCGGCCCTTTTGCGACGCTTAGAAGATGTGCTTGCAGAGGCTACAGGTGGTGCTGAGAGCTTTGAGGAAGTGCAGACCATTCTAATTGAGCTCTGGAAGTGCCGGTCGAGCTGTCTGGCGCAAGCAGCTGATGCGCTAGCAAACGGGAGTAGAAACTGTGCGTGGTCTTGGGCTGTTTCATCATCGGAAGATAACTGACTGACCTTCGCTTAGCATCCTGGAGACTTCCATACGGGCAAGCTGGCATCTTGAATTTCTTCCTTCAGATCATCGCCTCGAGAGAGTTTCATGACCATGATGTACTCCTTCATGCTCTACGGCTGGTCGGAAATTCCTGTGCTGACACTGGTAAGCTGCATCATTGATGAATGACCGAAGTTACGGTAATTTTGACCTCCTCCAGATGAAAACAGAGCCCTTGTTGTCAAGGGTAACTATACAGCTGCTATTCTCAACCGTCTTAGCCCAGAACTTGTGCATGTCGTGATTCCTGTTATCTACAACATCTCCATCGATTATGGTTGGTATATCTTCCAGTATCAGGTTATGGTTCTAACGGTTATACAGAGCCAGCCCAAAGTCAGCTGGCTGCGAACAAACTAGTATATATCCTTTTGAGACTAATCAAGGATGGCGCGCTCCAGGATAATGAGGCGCTTCTTGACTTCTCTTACGAACTCATAGAGATGCTCGCAGAGCAAGGTAAGGTTTACCTGTCATACCCATGTTTCATGCTAACAAAAGCGATGGCAGAACAAGGAATCCGAGAATCGCCAGGGGGGACAATTCTACTTCTCTTGGACCTTTTGTCCGAGGAGGGAGTTGCTCTCTCTCGATTTGTAGGCCTTGCTAATTGTCTTATGACTTATCTAGACAAGGAACGATTCCAGGATATTTGTATCGGCCAATGTATGGTTGACCGAGTGTTATCCGTGCTCAAACAATCATTATATATCAAAGCAGACCCTTCATCAAGTGGTGATACCAAAGCATTGGCGCAGCTGCAGCTGAAGATCAACCAAACACTTTCAGAAGTCTCTGCATCACCCAAGTTCTCCAAGGTATATCCCCTCGAGTCTCCTCTTGTTCAGACCTTGAAAGATTGGCTGGCTTCCACGGAAGACCAACTTCAAATCTGTTCATGCGTGATGCTGGGCAACTTGGCTCGATCGGACGCGGTGTGCGAAATGATGGTGCGGAAGATGAACATACACACCATGTTGATATCGATTCTGAGATCTGATGCTAGAGGCGCGGTTCTCCATTCTGCACTTGGAATTCTGAAGAATTTGGCTATAGCTGGCGATAACCGACAATGTCTGGGCGATGCTGGGATCATTCCTGCAGTCTCACGCCTGTGGGGATATGAGACGGTTCCTCAAGTCCAATTTGCTGCAACAAGCATTGTTCGGCAAGTCATCATCTCATCGACCGCGAATATTTCGTGTCTGCTGGAACTTGCTCCTATTGGCGAGGACTCCTCGGCCTCCGGACAGACATATCTTTCATCGTTACTCTCTCTGTGTGAGAAAACGGACTCCACACCAATCAAAACGGAGGTTGGACGGATCGTAGCTTCAATTTGCCGCACAATTGTTCCAAAGTCTCGTGAAGCGGACAGTGAGGCTAGCATTCTCCTTGAGCGTCTGTTCACTATGCACCAGGGTGTCGCGCTTCCACTTGGTGCTATGATTGCTCAATCGCAATGGCCTGTGGTCAGGAGCGAGGGCTGGTTCGCCTTGGCTTTGATGGCTTCCAGCAAACATGGCACTGCCGCCGTTATCGACTGCCTACAGAAGCTGGACTTATACCCGTTATTGGAAGAGACAATGAGCACACCTGTTTCTGACTCGGCGGATGAAGCGGACAAATTGAAGCCAGCCAAGGACGGTGATAATATCGTAGTCCTTATTCAAGAGCTGCTGAAAAATGATGTAAGTCAAAAGCAGTGCTTTCCTCCAATATCTGCGGGAGTCTACTAATGTCGAACTGTGTGCAGACTAATGCACTCTCAGCTTCCCAGAGGACCACATTGGAGACGCTCATGCATAGCCATGTTTCACGGCAGCTGCAAGGGACGAGACGGAACTGAGATTCTGTCCCTTACGTCTCCCGTCATCGATATGGAAGCAGTTTCTAGATATATATGGCTATGAAGACTAGCAATTCGTGTTTACATGCCAAATCTTAGACCATGTCGGTTAAACCTGACGGCTCGCTTCGTTTGTCTACTTTGGGAAGGATCGAGCCTATAAATAGGGTATAACTATCTTATATCGAGTTTGTATAGATGATATGACAATCAATGATGCGTGACCGATCCATTACTCCGGCACACGGGTTGCTTAGTAGACAGAACTCAGGAAACATTTGGACAGATTCTTTCTTTCGCGTACGCCTCATACCGTTGAAGAATATCAGTAGAGTCTAGATCTTCGGTGCCTGCGTCCGCCGAGTAATGTGCCGCCAACCCTTTCCCATCAATGATGATGGTGCGTTTGGTAGGGTTATTGGCATCCTCGATGAATCTGAATGGCACGTAGGAACTACCGTGCAAGATGGTGGACTGCACCGCATTCGCATCAGCATCCCAGAAGCACAGAAGATTCGGGCTGACGTCTGCAGGATTGCTCCACTTGGGGAATTTGTATCGGTGAAGTTCGTCCAATTCAAGGTGGTGCAGGAACGAGTAATGCTGTTGGGCTTTGACAGTCCAATCAGTGAAGCCCGGTCCATCAGTGGTGTACATGGATGTGCTGATCGGAGTCCGGTCGACCTGTTCATCATCTGAAAGGAGCCAGCGATGCTTGTTGCCGGGCGGAGCAAATCCTTTTAGGACTCGGAAATCTTCTGGTCCGGTCCATGGTGGAAGATGTGAAGTACCCCAATCTAGGTCTCTTGCTGGTGGCAGTTGCGCAGCTTCCGAAGCCTGATGAAGTTCCGGGAGGTAGGGCAAAGCAACCCCAGGATGACTGTGAAGTGCCTCAAGAGCTGCGTAATTGATGACATTTGCAGAGACCATTATCGACTCCGGATTGTCGAGCATTGTTCTGACAATGGTTGGAATGGTGTGGTCTTCCAGAAAGACAACATCGCCGTCCAGCCAGACAAACAGCGTACGACTATCCATCTCCCGGTAAGCATCAGCCGGTGATGTCCAAACGCTGTAGGCGGACGTCTCTTGGACAATCGAGGCCAGCCATTCAAGACTCGCTGTATCATTCGACTGCGGAATAAAAACCACTTTGTCAAGGAACCCATGATTGTTGACAAGATTTTTCTGAGACTAATCAGTTCGACCAGTTCGTCACGACAGGAGAAGATCCAACAATACCTGTAGATAACAGTCCAAAACAGACGTCTGCTCATGATGCTTGTAGGGTACCAGTGCAACGATGTCAAACCCCGCCGGTTTCCGAAAATGACCGACACTGTGGGAATACGCAAGAAAGGGGCCGGAGGAGCTTCTGTGGGATAGCAGTGAAAGCAGCCCTACTTCAATGAGTGAAGGATAACAGCTGCATATGCTGATGAACACAATGAGCATGCCGGTATAGGTGATGGCACCCCACTTCAGTATCGTGGACCATGTCAGGTCTCTAGAGACATCCTCGTTTTGCGATTCTATATCGCCGAGCTTTTCGAGGCGACTCATACTGAACTGGCATGACCGTGCCTCAAGAGCATTCAACAGGATCAAGCAGTGGAAGTCTCATGCCTGAAGACCAATGTCTCCGCCTAGGTACTCGCCTAGATACTCAAGGCATGACGACCGAATGGTCAGCTATAGTGGAGTGTGAGAACATTGCTGTTTCCGGCCATCGCAGTACAGAGACCGAAAGAGTCGGTGAGTGAGCACAGTTTCGTCTTGACTAATCAATATCTACAGGAATAGCGAGAGACAGCCTGCGCCGGAACAGGTAATAATGGTGGTAATCTAGAGGTTGGTGGGTGGAAGCTCCAGGATTGTGGAATGTGACCAATCGAAGAACTAGTCATCTTAGATAATTCATTCAACAGACCGACCGTAATATGGAACCGATTTATCTCTCAGGATGATAAGAATAGAATAGCCATCAGACTACCTCTGGTTCTATCTCATCAATCATCATGACGAGGGAAGAGGAGGAATTGTTCCTGATCCGATGCTGCCGATGACGTCGTAACACGTGCATCGCCCACCTCGGGTTGGTCTCTCTCTCCGGTCCTCCACCAGGCATTATCACATCAATCTTCTCATGGCGGCCTTCAGGTTCACGCAGAAGCCTTGATCTACTCCTCAATGACTTTCCTGGGTCCCAAAAGGCTTGCCCTTGCATGATAATATGAGGACGGCCACCCTCTTTGGCCGTTTCTTTTGGTGCCGAGGTGGTGGAAGTCCGCAACTGCTAACCCGCTTTGCAACGCCATTTCGATTCCGCTCAAAACATACGCCATGGCCTCCAGGTCCGTGGAGGTCATTTCACAAGAAGGCGCCCGTTGGAAGAACGGTATTGTTTGCGGCGCTGACGCCCGGCGCCTTCTTAGAGTTGGCGGAGAATGGAGATGGTCATGACAAGACTGGCGAGATGCAGATGCTAGAAATTTCGCGTCAAGAGATTCGAAAAAGTGTCTCCGAGGATGCGCGAGGCTTGACGAAGCTTTGTGAAGAGCTCTTTGTGTTTTGGTACTGCTACATATACGACCCAATCGCTACCGGCTTTCGGTTCGTCCATTTGGCGATTGTTTTCATTCCTGTCATCATTACAGTGCCTGCTATATGGTTTGGACGGCGGCTCGACGATGGAAAGGGGGAGCGGGCAGGAGCCGTTTGGTGGTACGGCTTTTTAGTCAGATCAATGGAGCGTGCTGGCCCAGCGTTCATCAAGGTGAGCGCCCACCGTACATGAGTTAGTTGGCTACCATTCACATACTGACTACCATTCCTTCCCGATAGCTCGGACAATGGGCCGCGTCACGCACCGATATCTTTCCGCCGGAAATGTGCAACATTATGTCTTCGCTACACTCTCATGCTCCTGCGCATTCGTTGCATCAGACTAAAAAGACGATAAGCAAGGCTTTCAATGGTCTACCATTCGAGGAGATTTTTGAGGAGTTCTACGAGGAACCGCTAGGAGTTGGGGCTATTGCTCAAGTATACAAGGCAAAGCTCAAGCCGAGCCTGGCTGTGATGGACGATCAGGCTCTGACACTTGAGGACGGAAGCTTCCGTGGAAAGGTAAGAAAGAATGTCGACGTGCTGGTAAAGAGTTCGCCGCGACGGGTTCCGTCCTCGTACGTGGCCATTAAAGTACTCCATCCAAAGGTTGAGCGCGTGATCCGAAGGGATTTGCGAATCATGTCTTTCTTCGCATCGTTGATTAATGCCATCCCCACAATGCACTGGTTGTCTTTGCCGGATGAGGTACAACAGTTTGGTGAGATGATGAAACTACAACTGGACCTCAGAATCGAGGCATCCAACCTTGTGATCTTTCGCCAGAAGTTCAAATCACGAACCACCGCTTGGTTTCCCTACCCATACTTGGAGTATACCACGCGTGAAGTGCTTGTCGAAGAATTCGCCCAAGGGATCCCCTTGGAGACTTTCTTGGATGTTGGAGGGGGTGTCTACCAGCAAGAGATCGCAAACGAGGGTCTGGACGCGTTCCTTCATATGCTTCTGATCGACAACTTTGTTCACGCTGATTTGCACCCGGGGAATATAATGGTCAGATTCTACCAACCGGCTGAGTTGGACTTATCACTCGGCAAGCGCAGTCGGGTTGCAGATGCACCAACCGCCGCTGAAGCTGATGTAACCGAGACTGTACTGGCCCGGTTGAGGCCGCACGCCCATAATCGGGAGGCCTGGCACGCTGCTCTTTCCCAGCTGAATGCTGAGGGCTATCGCCCCCAGCTCATTTTTATCGACACTGGCCTAGTGACTCAGCTCAACGAGACCAACCGGAGAAACTTCCTCGACCTGTTTCGAGCGGTGGCCGAGTTTGACGGGTTCAGAGCGGGCCAATTGATGGTTGAGCGGTGCCGTCAGCCGGAAGAAGTCATCGACCCGGATGTCTTCGCGCTGAAGATGGAGCACCTGGTCTACAACATTAAATCACGGACATTCGCATTGGGCAACATCAAAATTGGGGATGTGCTGAGCGAGGTCTTATCCATGGTTCGAAGCCATCACGTTCGGCTCGAGGGCGATTTTGTCAATGTGGTCATCTCTATCCTTCTCCTCGAAGGCATTGGTCGAAGTCTGGATCCAGGCCTGGATCTTTTCAAGAGGTAGGTTGATTCTTTTTCCCCTCTATTCATTTCAGGGGTCTTCTCAGCCCAACTGTTCCACAATTCATGACTAATTCAATTAGTGCTCTTCCGATCTTGCGGCAGCTTGGTTCCGGTGCGACTCTTCTTAGCTCCGTCCGCTCGGGCGACACCTCCATGCTTCGTGTCTGGGTCGGTCTCGAAGCGCGTGGCCTCCTCCAGGCTAGCATTGAGAGTGTGGAGCAGTGTGTGAAATATGACCTGTTGTCTCCAAACATTTAACAGACGGCGAAATAGCAGCCCTCACCACTCATCTAGAATTGTGTCTCTACGTACAAGGCCGGAGCTCAGGGTAATTTCTACAATTTTCTAGGTCTTACGATACTCGACTATATGATGCACACGCTGCAATGATTGATACTTCAGGGTCAGTCCTTGAGGTCTTATAGAAGCCAGCAGCCGCTCGACTGAAGCAACCTCAAGCAGTCTCTGGTTGACAGAAGTGAGAGCCTCTCTCGATCGATTTCCAACCCGAGCGATATTCATGCAACCCTGCTCCTGTCATATAAAGGTTCTTTGCCATACTACTCATGATAGTGGTGTGGCTCGTAATATGTACATTGACTTGATGAACAAATAAATGACTTCGTTAAATAGATATCCTACCCATGCATACTTGTCTGCGATCAAAAAAAAAAGAACATCTATAGCTCCTACAATTTTGTGCTCAGTAAATTAGAGGTGACTGTGTATATATGCTCTTGCGATACATTAATATTGCTGTATAGTACAATGCCCTAGAGACCGGTGAGAGGAGATGGCGGTGAAAAAACAGTGAAAAGCACAATGAGCCCATACTCAAACAAGACAGGATACCACTAAACTCCATTACCAATTGCTTGTATAAAACAGGAACACACAGTCAAGCATGTGCACGTGAAGCGAAGAGATGAACAACAGCAAAAGAAGTGATGTTGAGAAATGAATGTTTCGTCCAAGTGTCAGAGTCGCCCGCGCTCTCAAGTATGCATTCTCCATAAGAAAAATGTCGGTTCATCCAATCGTACACTTTCGCGTGTTGGCCGCAGAGCGTGTTATTACGAATTATTGTTCTCTCGCACAGCGCCGCCGCTAGCTCTGTACCAGACGTCGCCGCCCCATCTCATTAGACGCTCAACGGCCGCCGTTGGGCTGTCCAAGGCTGGTCTGATGTCGAGATAGAACACTGGCTCACCAGTCGGCTCGGGGGGCCCGGAATAGTAATCAATCACGTAGCGGACTTCTTTGGGACCAGATGGCGTCTGTCGCAGCACAAACCAATCATGGCGATCAAAAGGTGGATTTGTTCTGTAGGATATTCCGTGTAAGCACAGTCTCAGATTAAATGGCATATCACGTTCACTCACCCAAACTTTGCAGGATACAGCCACCCTAGAGCTTGAAGTATCTGCGCCTTGGGGGTAAGCTCTTGTGGCCGACCCTTGAACCTGAGGAGTCGAGGTTCACTGGCTGGATCGACATTTCCGGTCATCTCCTGCTTCATTGCTTCTAGAGCAATGCCTTGCTCTCCCTTTCGGCACTTCTCCCACGCTTGTCCCAGGCCCTTAGCAAAGAGGCGCTCCCATCCAACTATTTCAGTCCAGGCACCTTCATTCAGGAAATTGTGGACCGCTACCATGGCTTCGACAGCATCCTGTGGCGTATCGGTGTAACCTTTACGAAGCATAGCATTGTACATTTGCTGGGGGGAAGGGTACTCCCAGTTGCCGTCTGCATCCCCTCTAGGTATGGAGGAAGGCTCTCGTTCCACCGGCAGGTCTACCGTCTGATTCGGTGCTCGCTCTTGAGAAATCGAGGAGAACATGTAGTTAAGAGGGTTCAATTTTGACAAAGCCGATCTGGTTTCGGGAGCGGGAGGCCGAGGAGAGTCCGTCACGGTAGTTTTCGGCTGCACATAGAACGGAGAGTCTGGGGACCGAACAGGGCAGGAGCTGGAAGTATCAGACCGAGCAGACGGTGAAGACAAGGCTGGAGGAGCGTTGGAGGCATGCATGGGACATCCTGGCTGCAAGAAGTCAATTAAACTGTTCTGGGAGATATGCCAACAGGATTTTGTACTAACTGGAGGGGACGCATCAGAGGACGCCAGAGGATTTGGTGCCACAGGCGTTGGCTTTGCCTGCGTATCTGCCCAAAACCAACCCATATTGAAGAGACTATTACAGTATAAATAGCAAAGAAGAAGGTATTGAAGTTGAAGGACTAAGTTCAAATTCGTTCGAGGGTTGAAGCGCGGATGAATCAATGGAGTATATTTCCTACTGTTAACATCCAAAAACTTTCGGGCAGATGACATAATAATAGTCTCTGGCAAGAAATACCTCTCCAGATCTTCGGATAAATCGGGTCCGTACCTAACCTTATCATCTGCCGGTCACATGACCTTTAATCAAGGAGCCAATCATGTTGATGGCATATGCAAGAAAGGATAAGTGATGGATGAGTCCACTATGGCATCGATGATTATTGCTATTAATTTCGCTTCTGATTCAATGAAAAAATACTTCTGACCTCTCACTAGGGCATGCTTAGAGGCCTAAATCAGTATAGCTTGGATTTTATGGCTTTGATAACTTTGTATACGCTTGCTACCTGGAATGTTACACGAAATAAATGGTTCTGGGTATCCAAATTCTGCCTGGAAACCTTGAGTGATATTCCTCACGTAGCATGACTTTCGACTCACTAAACCAGATCAGTCCCATAGTGATGAGTTGGAACACACCCAATACATCGTTCCGAAACGAACCCGGTTACAGCCTCCTCCCAGGCTGATTCCCAGATCGCTCCGTGAAAATCAGGTAGATAGAAGTAGTCAGCCAAAACGTCCGCTACCTGTTCCCATTTCTGCCAGCCCCGAAGCATGGCCAACCGAGCTAGCCAGTCAATGAACCAGGAATGTTCCACCTGTCCGGCTGAACCTTGAGCCCCGATGAATAATACCCACGCGAGTAGTCCGTTTATGGCCTTGGCAGACTTTGGACCTAGGGATAGTGAACAGCTGCTCATAGATGCTTTCAAGTGCTTAGTCAAGGCGCGACCTAGCCCACTCGATGGCGGTGATACTATCAGAAACTGATTGAGAAAGCAGATACAGGCGACTCTGGTGACAGCTTCAATAGGACTGATGTCCAATTGTGTTCCAGAAGGTGAGCCTTGATGGCCATCGGTGTATATATGAGAAAGGAGCCGGTGTTCGGTCTCGCAATTTACCACGCGAAAAAGCTCATGGTCCTCAGGATAAAGAGAGGCGGGTCTCTCCCTGTAGGCCTGACTGTAAAGAACTATATCACGCATCACATCTAAGATTTTCAGTAGAGGAAGACTGAGAATGTTATTGGCAAAGAAGGCTGCACCCAGCCTCGCTAACACCGACGCAGCCGGTGGTCTAATCCGTTGTTGAACACTAGACGGAACCGGTCGAGGATCCCAGGGAAGAGGGAACAATGGCTTGGTCATGAGACCCGACGCTGCTTTCACATCGGACCTAATGCCATGCTTAACACGATACTCTGAATATTTGGGGATGCCACTACATACGTGATGATGGCTGCTAGCATCGAAGGTTGGTGGATGCTATCTGCCATGAGGCCACCCCGCAACTCCACCATGCGTTTCAAGCCTGCTAGATGTATTCGAGCTTCGTCGAACATTCCTATGATCAGCTGCGGAGGATTAGAAAAAAGATTCGACATCGAATAATCGGCACCTAGTGCAAGACCGGAAGGAGAAGCTAGATCGAGAAGGTGGCCCTTACTGTACTTGTCAGCAGATTGACCATTGTATCAAATGATTCATCGCTCAGTGCACGATTAGAATCACACATTTTAGCGTTCATCTCTTGCATGCATCTGGCTTTCATAAAATAGTAATCTGCGTCGTGGCCGGTTGAGCGAGAACTGTCCGGTGCACGGGAGCAATCGATGTGATATCCGGCCAATACAGCCCGATGAGCCGCACACATAGCCATCAGACCAAAAAAACTTCCTGGATCCGAGAATGACGATTTGACCATCAATCCAGTCTCCGCCTGCTCGTTGATCTTACGCTCCTCCGGAAACGTCATTGGAACAAAGACAGACTTCCCTTCTCGACGATAAACGTTAGCCAGGTGCCAGGGGAACGTATCTCAAAAACTCCTCCCAACTGCAGCTATTGCAGGAAGCTTTGCCGTGCCAACACCAGAAAGCTTCGTGCGGCAGTTGCTGCCACAGTGTGGTGAAGGTAAGAGACCAGAACACTCACAATAGAACACGAGACGAGCAACCCTCGATGGGGCCTCACCAGCGCCGGGCAGTGAGCCAAATGGATCAAGAAGCCAGGACGGTGGAAAAGCTAGAGTGTTGGGGGCAGGGGTCGGTGGCACTGAATAACCAGCTCTCCATATTATCGGTCGCCGTCGTTCTTGTGGGGATCTAAGAAGACTACGGGCAGGATTGGAGTCTGCGAACGAGGAAGACGCGGGCAATGGAGAAGCCACCCCTGCTTCCAACAGACACTCGGACGTGGAGCTTTCCGCCTGCGGTGAAATCGACGCAGAGAGTGGTAAAGGTTGTTTTAGACGGGATTCTCGCTTTGGGACTCTTTTCAAGCCAGCAAGTCGCTCTCGCCTTCGCACGTCACGCATAACATGAGAGCGAATGGCTTTGCGCGCATTGGCGTCTTTGATTCTCTTGGAGCTCAGATCATCGTCATGGTCGATGAAGGTGTACATTGGGCGGTCAATCGCAGCAGGGTGGATGGGGTTCGATGCTGGACGATTCGCAGTAAGCAAACGGACTATTCGATTTGACTTAATCTGACATCAAAGTGCTGTCCTGTAGTGTGACACCCGATTGATAGGCATAGTGGTCAAAGCTGGGTATGCCAGTGAAGTAGCAATAGATCCGTTGCACAGAAACAGAGATTCTCATCGATTACGGAATAAGTCAAGGAAAAGGGTCATCGACATCTCGAGCTCTCTGGCTTAGGCACACAGTAATCGCCAGGCAGCGCAACAGTCCTTGTTTAGAGGACCGCTCAGAATAGTATTATACCAGCTTCAAATTTTTGTATACAAGACAGTTGCAAGCTGTTAAGCAGATGAAAGAAGAGATACGAGAAGAGTAGAGAGCTGAAGGGAGTCGAATTTAATGCGCGATGTCAAAACATCGTATGGTGGACACTGCAGACGACAGAATAGAACGAACCTTTGGATTCATGAAGGTTGGGGAACCCCTGAA